TTTGGTTGCCACTTGTTCCAGTCAAGTGAGAGTATCTCCGCTGGATGTGCCTGGATTGTCAAAGCTGGTGGAGGATGGGGTAGAGCGGACTGCTGCCGCAAATCAAATATACGGACGGTTCCATCGGATGCACAAGACGCTAAAACATCCGCTTCATGGGGTGAGAAGAGTGCCTGGTAGATGCTTGCTTCGTGTGCTGGTATTGCTTTTAATGAGTGCGGTCTCTCGGGATTCCACTGCCGGAAGGTGAATACCGAAAATCACTTGCACGTCTAACAACACCCCCAAAAAAAACTCACAATTCGTATTGTTCCATCCCAGGATCCTGAGCAAAATATCAACTTATTAACGTTAGACCAGTGGACCCCATAAACCTCTCTGGTGTGCTCACGCCACATGCGAATTGGATGGTCCTGTCTGGTCGTCCATTGAGTCCAAACTCAATGCCCTGTTAAGATGAAAGACGCACGCTCAGAGTAATATCCCAAAGGCGGATAGAGCCATCGCCGCTCGCAGTGACAAGTTGATTCTCGTGTATTTCAGACCAGGCAACATCGAACAGAGCATCTTGAGTTTCGAAACTAGATCTGAGTCAGTACCAAAAGTTGAACAATTAGAAGAGAGATGCACTAACAACTTCTCAGTCGTTGCATTTATAGGGGCCATAGGAGCACCACTCAGTGAAATGATTTGGAGACGACCATTCCCAAGCAATCCATAATTGGCTGAAGATGCTATCGCCAGCCTGTTGTCATAAAATGGAGACCAAGCGACGCCATGATGCGCGAATGCTGGCGTATGGACTATCGTGGTTGGCTCCATAGTGCTTTATTTAGCCTTTCCCGACGCACGAACCCAATGCAGTTGGGCGCGTGAATTACACCTGTCCTCAACCACTACCTCTGACCGTCAAACTTTCCTAGAAATGGATATTAGACAGTATCTCGCTACGGTGAATTACCAAGGACGTCGCGATATCTTGTACGGCACCGCTGGGTGTTTGACTCTCGCATCCTACTTTTTCTCTCGCAGAATTCGCGCATATATTCGAACTTCCCTCCTTGTTTTCAGCATAGTCATCAACTCGCTATGGGGTATCCTGATTTCCGTCTTTGTTGGAATCGAGACCAACTATCACGCGACCAAAGCCTTCGCTAATGTTTGTGAATGGACGATAGGACTCCAGTTGGTCGTGGAAGGATCCGAACACCTAGAAATCGGACCATCGGTTGTTCTCTATAATCATCAAACTATGATGGACATGGTTTTCATGGGACGTGAGTATCAATGGGTGATAGGTTGAAGAAGATTAACATTGTGTCATGTGGGGTAGGCGCCATGCCCCGTAGATCGGTCGTCCTTGCAAAGAAGTCATTGAAATGGGTTCCGTTCTTCGGGCAATACCTCTATTTTAGCCGCGCCATCTTCCTTGACCGGCAGAACAACAAGGACGCTGTAGCATCACTTCATACCGCCAGTCAAACGTTGTTGGAACAGAATGCCTCCTTGCTGGTCTTTCCTGAAGGAACTCGCACTCTCACTGCCGCGAACACGTTGAATCCTTTCAAAAAAGGCGCATTCCACGTTGCGATCGAAGCAGGTATTCCGATCATTCCGGTGGTCTTTGAGAACCAATGGAAAATTTATCGACCTGGCGTATTTGAGAAGGGCGTATGCAAGATCAAAGGTGAGCATGGCCATGGTCGGCTTTATTCCTATTCTAAACTCAATGTACAGTTCTCCCTCCTATTCCGACCAAAGGAATGGCACCAGCAGAGGCCGCAGGTCTGGCGGTTTCGACGCGAGAGCTAATGCAAAAGGCTTTGGAGGAGATATCAGTCAAAGCGTGATTGAGCACATCAATCTCTTAGATATCCGTTAGATAGACCACTACTAGTTTAGCTGTACCCTAGTAGTTTGCCTCAGCTGACGCCTTGCGCTTGACGCCTTTTGATCAGTGAAGCGGTCAGCATTGAAGTAATATCGACGTAGACAGGGATCAGCCTTAGGTAACTCGGTAGAAAGACTCACCTTTAGTTGGAGGTTCAACAAAGATGTGGATTGTGTCCTCTGGAGGATTGGAGGGGTATAATTTGGATAACGCCGTACCCGCGTCCAGTGCATTTTCAAACCTCAGGCTCTCCATCTTTGTCTTTGCTTCCTTGATCCTGTCCTGAGGATTCAATGCACTAGCGTCGACTCGGTATAGAATAAGCTCGGCGGCGTCAATGCCAGCCAACACGTTAGTGTTTTCGTTCCATATCAGTTTCTTCAAGTCACCCACTTCCATTGTCTTTGATATCCTGACCGGAAATGGCTGTTTCATCCCTGGAATGAAACAGG